GCCTGTTTTGTCTTCGGTCGTATTCACCTCCGCGATTGAGTTCACGAAACACGACGCACGGCGGGATGTAAATAAGCGCCAAAAACCGTGGTGGGTTTCACGGACCCTATTTATTCAGGACTGCCAGAATATATCAGCCTGCTCGCAACTCTCCCGCTCCGGAACTCAACAATTTACGCTTACGTGACTAATTAGAACAAATCACAACACATCCCTCTACATGAAAAACCCAGTGTATTACACCTATAGCCTTTCGTCCATGTTGAGGCAACATTCTAAGAATTGAATGTCGCGTGCGGCCACGCAGACTTTTCCCACATGTGTTTCAAAGCGGCGGCTGGCGGACACGATCGGGCGGTATATGGTCGCAAATTTGCATCCTCGTCTGCGGGACATTTCAAAGTGCAGGAGACCCTTATCGTGTGTGTGGATCCTTTATATCACGGCACCGTTTCCCAAACCCCTTTGATTGAACTGCTTTGACGTGTATTTCAGCTGCAGCCCTTGTGACCACATTTGTATAACAGAATACAATGATTCACATTATAAAATCAGCATATTCATGTTTAATTGTGACTTTTTTGATAATGACAATTTGGTATCAAGCACCGATCCGAAAGTGTTTTATAAGCTTTATGCTGAAGTGACTGAGATCTTTATTCTGTCTTGTTATTTACTATTGAAATAAATATATGCAGCGACTGAGTGAAACATCTCCAAAAAGAGCAGGAATTACTAAAAATGATTTTAATGCAGCAACGATGTTTGTTGAACCGCCTGCGTCACACACCGCAAACATGAACGAAAGGTGACAACCATCTTAAAGATTGGATTTATTATTGAAATATTGCTCTATACCAGCAGTGTCTCTCACGAATGAACGACGTGGTGTGAGTGCCGACGGGTTTTGGCCTCAGGAGTGATGCGTCCTATGACTCATCAGGCCTATCGAAAGGCCTCGAAGGGGGGCGGGGACTCACGGCAGCACGCGATGCTCGTTGAGCGCGTCACTATACTAACCACTAACCACTGACAATAAAAGCGCGACGACACGTAACAACATCGTTGTGACAGAACGTTCTAACTATTTATATTCATCTATAATTAAAAAAAAAAATCCTCATTAATACAAACGTATCACATACAGGTGAATGCACAGATTAAATACACACAGCATACAAGGTACACACACTTCTCAGCATTCTGTCAACAGTGAACACTCTTTTATTTCATAATGTGATCACTGAAGTTCATTAATTAATTAATTATTATGAAAATCTTAACGTTAATATCGTCTATCTTTCAACCTTACGTTACAACATGACACATTGATCAACAAATTGACGTTTTCTGGCACGTTGATGTTTCATCCCATTTTTAGCCGGTTGAAAAGACTTTTAAATGAGGTCTTAGACGTTCAGACCTCATTTCAACCCGATTTCAACCATATTTCAACGTTGAAATTACGTCTTGTGCTCACTGGGAAGTGTTATTTGCCTGACATGATTAACATTCTCTTTCCTTACATCTTGTTGTCTTCCTCATCTTTGTAATTTTAATATTTTACCAATGAAAGTGTTTCTAAATGTTTTATTTTGGTTTGTTTTACGGAGGCTCTGGATTAAGGACGCCAGCCGTTTGCTGCGGTCAATTGAAAGTGTTCCATAGCGTATTGTTGCAGCTAGTTTACCTTGTTCCTAATGATTTAATGATTCATTTTTTTATTATTGTATGGGACATATTTTATGTTTTGATCTTGGTTACAAATGCCAAATATTTTTGTCTTAAAGGCATCTAATAAACTCCAACCACTATGACCGAGCTGAGTTTGGTGGTCTTTCTTTAATTTGTGGGGAATTGAATGCAAAAGTATACGGTTATAAGTAAACGGTAACATTGTAGCGGCTCCCAGACTGTGGAACGCTTTGTCGTTTTCTGTGCGGTCTGCGACGAACATTTCCACTTTTAAAACTCGCCTTAAGACTCACTTGTTCACATTGGCCTTTGGCCGAGTTAAGTCACCTGCATCGTTCTTTTATGTGTTTGCCTTTTACTGTTCATTTTTTTTTTTTTTTTTTTTTTGTTTGTTTTACGTTTCTTCGTATTGTTTTATTGATGCTGATTGTTTTTTATCCTGTAAAGCACTTTGGCTGGCCACTGGCCTTTAAAAGTGCTGTATAAATAAAATTGACATTGACATTCTGGTATTTATAACACAAAAACAGTAATCGTATGGTAACAAACTGTAATCCAATATACAACAACATACCGTAAATTACGGTAGGGCACGGTAAATAAAACAGTAAATTACTAGTGTCAACTGCCAGTAAATTGCAGTTAATTCACAGTCAAATTCGTTCAAGTTTATGGTAACATACAGTAATCCATTTTACAGTAACATAGTGCAAACGCCATTTGTGGTATTTTACCGTAAAATAACGCTAAAATAATGTTTACTTGTAACTTGTAATTCCTGTTCTTTTTTAAGATGATTCACAAAGTCGCTGGTGTACATGTATTATTATTTCAATAAATAACAAGACAGTTCATTTTCTGTGCATTCATTTGTTAAACATCACGCTTAGAGCAGAGCAGATTTAAAGCCCTACATTTGTATTTCCTTCCTTCCTGTCTTCAGTTTTGAATAAGTAACAAAAGCTCAAGTATAGCTAACAATGGTCTTATTGAATATTATTTGCACTAAATATCCAAAATGATTATTAATAATTACTCAAAAGCATTTTTTAATAGCAGGTGTACAACAACTGCCAGCTGTTGATGTTGAAATGTGATGTTAAAAAAATCTTTGGGTAGACTTGAAGAAACTCCAGAGATGAATAAATTGTACTAAAACGGATTGAATAGAAAATTGTGCTACAGTAAATTTCTCCAAAGGAGGACTAGAGCGGCATCAGCAGGCCACAGCACACCAGCAGACAGACGGTCTTAAAGTCACGGTGAGCAGCCGGCAAGCGAAGCAACAAGCCGGGCGAAACCGAAAGGAGGGTTAAATCATCCCAACACTGGTGTAATGACGACACAATATACAATACATCTGGGTGGCAGCGGCATCTGGAGCGGCACGTCTTCAAGTATCTGAGCACGGGGGGCCTTAGACCCCCCCACACCAACCACCACCACCACAAGTGCAAAAACTTTCCTAAGTTTTATTAAGTAAATCGCACTCCACATGTTTTTTCAGTGCAGAGATGTTGAGAAGAATAATCGTGGGATGGATGCCAATATAGGCCATCTCTGATTCATCAATTATTTTACTGTACTTTTATAACCATCAGATAATTGACACATGAACGTATTGTGAGTCTAACAAACACGATCAGGCAGTGTGGTCGAGGACAATAAGGTCAGACAGTAAGTTGTGTGCGAGGTGCCACTTTGCATCCTCGGCTGCAGGACATTTGCAAGTGGGAACAGTTATCATCCCTGCATGTGTGTGTGTGTGTGTGTGTGTGGATCCTTTGTATCACGGCACAGTTTACTAAATCCCTCTGATAGAACTGCTTTAATGTGTATTTCGGCTACAGCCCATTTGTGGCCTCATTTGTATAAAATGTACATTTTGTAAATGCGCGTATTCACATTTACTTGCGGCTTGTTTGATAATGTCGATAGAATATTGTCGGGATCTCCGATCCCCCCCGAGTTGGTCTCTGCACATCACGGTCAAATACAGACTTGAGACCCGGGTTTAGCACAAGACAAATGTTACACCATGTTTTACATGCATCTCGCAGCATCAAACACCGATCGAGTGTTTTATAAGCTTTATGCTGCATGGAGTGAGATCTTTACAACATCAGGCTTGATTTAAACATTTCTTTATTTGTTGAAATTTAATTAACAAATGATTGGACAGACAAATTGAACTGAACTTGCTATTAACTATATTTAAATAATAATACAGCGACTTAGTGAAATATCTTCACAAAGAACAGTAATTACAAATAAACTAAAAATGATTTTAATGCAGCAACGAGGTTTGTTGAACCGACCTCCTCTCGCCCGCAGACACATTTTTACATCACATTACATGTCATTTAGCTGGAGCTTTTATCCAAAGCGACATACAGTAATAATTAGGGGTTAGGTGTCTTGCTCAGGGACACTTCGACTTGGGACATCGGGCAGCCGGGACTCGAACCGTCCATTAACTGGAGGTTGAAGATGAATTTCCTCATCTGGGGATTCGGGTGAGGCCTCTGGTCTGCGGGATCTCCGGCACCAAAAGATGATCCCTCCAACCACCAGGACCACACTCAGGACCACACTCAGGACCACACCCAGGACCACTGTGGCAATTACCCACGGCCGATCCACGTTCTCCTCAGGGGGACTCACACGCGGCTAAAGAAGAAGACAGGAAATAAAATAAATGAAAGAAAATAAAATGACTACATTCATTGTATTTATGGAAAAGAGACCGCGGTCTCAGTTCAAACATAAATGTCCCCAATTTGATGGAACTTCTTGAGCTGCATCTGGTCCCTTTACAGGAGAAGAATAAATCGAAGAACTCACCGGGCCGCTGGTGGTCTGATCCGGGCCGCTGGTGGTCTGATCCGGGCCGCTGGTGGTCTGATCCGGGCCGCTGGTGGTCTGATCCGGGACGCGCGTGTTGACTTTCAGCCTCGCAGCATGGAGCGGCACCGTGTCTATCAATTTGTCTCGGACGTAGAAAAAGTAAACGCCTTCATCTGCAGTCGTCGCCCCTTTCAGCGTCATCGTCAAGTTCCAGTCATCCTTCCACTGGGGGGAGATGGATACCCTGTCCTCGAACCCGGGACCGTGGGTCTGTTTCCCGGACCCGTAGTCTAGTTCGAACACCGGCTTTTCGTTTCGAGCCACCGTGAAGACCCCGCGTCCCCTCGTGTTTGCGTAGGACTCGAAGGAGACCGAGTCCCCCTCGGTCACCGTGCGATTGGTGCTTAGAAAAACGTGCACGTGGACCAAAGGCTGGATGTCTTTGTCGGTGTCGGTGCCGCACGCGAGCTCGTACAGTCCTGCGTCGTTGGCGTTTGCGCTGTTTAAGGTGACGGTCTCGTTCGGAGTCATCCGGTCTCGGAAGTCTGGTGCCGGCGTCCAAAGATCGTCCCACGCAGCCACCAGACGATCGCTGGCATCGCGCGGGCAATGCCGCAGCTCGCATCCTTTTAACTCGCGTCCTTTCAGCGCGGGAAACTTAAACTGGATCTCCGGATGATCAATAAATACGGAACACATTCTACAAGAGAACAGTGGACAGTGCTAACAAGAAGAAGGACTCTGTTGAGAAGCCA